TAATGTTCCATTGTTTGTTTCACACGTGAAACGTCTGTCCGTCACAAGGATAAGAGGTACGAAGAATCTTTTTAGACCCCCTTTTCCTAGGAGGAACTTCTAAATCCGCTGAAATTATTAACTTGTAAAGAATCTTAAGAAAATTTTGAGGCAATAATGTTCCATTCTTCGATTACACACACGAAACGTCTGTCCTTCACAAGGAAAAGAGGCTCGAAGAATCATTCTAAACCCCCTTTTCCTAAAAGGAACTTTTATATCTGCTGGGAGTATTAATTTGTAAGGAACTTTAGAGAAATTTCCAGTCAACAATGTCCTACTCGTTAATGACTCACATGAAACATCTGTTCGTAGCAAGGATAAGAGGTTCAAAGAATTCTTCTAGACCCACCTTTTAGGGTGAACTTTTAAGAGGATCTTTTGAGTCTCTTGCATTTGTGACGGACAGATACTTCGTGTGTTATTAATACGTTGAGTGCCATAGCAGCTCCCACGAGAAGTCCACGAAGTGAAAGTAATTCTTTTAATGATATAGCTACTTGTACATTATGATTTATCAATGTATAGTGTATCATCGATGAGTGTTCGAAGGCTCCTCGGCACTGACAAGGAGAGGTCCCCAGGTATAACGCTGACTCTTTAATGAGGTTTAGCACAGTGATAGAGCTTGGAATTCTAAAGCCAATGATATTTGTTTCAACCGTATATTGCCATTAGTTCAATAAATATTTAATGTTCAGTTTCATCCATGATTTACTGTAGTTATTCTTTTAACCTTACCGAATTTCGGAGACGTATTTTTCCACCGAGGTTAATTTTGAATTGAGAACTAAAAATTGTCACTTGTTGGTCAAAATGTTAACTCGTTGGATATTGTGGATTGGAATCGACCTTAGGATTTCTTAAAAATAAAATCTTTGGTTGGCAAACTACAGGCTACATGATTAGAGAATTTGAAGTTAACAAACAGATTCTGATTGATATTCCTTATTATCTAATTATCATTATTGCTAGTTCTTATGAAACTTAAATCTACGATGGTTACAGTGGTCTTTCAACTTGTGGAGTTCGCAAAAGAATACAGAAACATATCGCTAATCCGGTGTCCAGTTTTTTAATCTGTGCAACCATGTTCTTTTATCTGCGTTTCAGATGTCTGCACGCACGCACACACGTCACGTGTTGTTGTCCAGCTGAAAGCTAGCGAAACAAATGCGCGAGAATCACTTCACGCGACAAGAATGCGAAAAAAGCGGTCGGGTCATCGGTTGACCCAAGGACCTTTTCGTTTTTTCCATTGTTGAAAACCACGGCAATTAATTACGCGAATCCGCGGGTTAAACGATCCAGTATCGCGTTTCAATGCTACGCAACCGGCTGTCGTATGTACATACATTGGATTATATCGGTCGGAATGTTTGCACGGATTATCGAGACGTTCCCTTGGTATCGTTTAAATGAATTGTTATAGGGTCGTTGGAATTTTATCGGTCTGAGCACGAAGTTGATGGAAATTATTCTCTTGAACGCTCTCGAGATACCAGAAACACGATTGTATATCATGAACATTGATTACTCTCGATTTGATCGTTTTTCGTAGAATATATACGTGTAATAACATTTTATGGTTAATGGTACTACGAAGTTGAATGAAAACATTAGGAAAATTAATTTGACATTCGTATAGTAAGTACACTTATTCTTTCTCTGACACCTTACGCCATTTTTATTCGACAAAGTGCGGGAAACCATACTGAATTTAAATTGAATTGTCATCTTATTACGAAAATGTTAAATATCCCGCTGGTACAATACAATTAGAATGAATTTAATAACAGCTTTGAATTTTTAAGACACAGTTGAAAATTACAGAGTACCCTGTTAAAAAGAAATCCATTTCTTCCTAAGGGAACATTCCACCACTCAAAACGCAACATCCTTCGAATACTCTAAACCCGTATGTACATAATTACTACGTGAAACAATTTCCAGTTCCACTGAAACCTTCGTCAAACAGAACGATAATTGTTTCGTACAAGAAAATTGCAAACTTCCATCTCAATGCACATCGTCGTGACGAAGTTTTCAAGAAACCGCGGCGCAACAGCTCTGTCATTAATCCACCTTTCAACGATCGTAGGAAAATTCCACGGTTCACCGCGCTCCTCTAACCAACCGTGCCTCGGGAGAAACTGAAACAATGTTTTTCTATCTAAGTGCCGTCGATAATTGCGCCTTTCCACTAGGGCACGGTCATCAGTTATGCGCGATTAACGCGCTCGGCTGGGCGTGAACGCACGAACGGGGATAGTTCCACGAAAACCGTCATCGATGTACCTTTAGTGTCGCTTCCGTGCCGCTTTTCCAATCGTCGATCGTCTCGTTTGTATCTAATTGCCGTCACGCTGTCAGCCTCGAGAAATGTCGCATGTCCCCTTCCGTTGAATTCCGTTCACGTGATTATCTGGACATCAGGAAATCGTCATTATCCTGGGATTTAATTGAGTTCGCGTAACCTGGCAATCAGATCAGCTGGATCAATTATCGGCTGACTGAGATTTACGAGTCTCCACCTCCCTTTGTTGAAGAATTTGTTGGACGTCGAACGGAAGGTGAAGCTGAACGCAGAGCCTTGGCTCTGAAGTCGTTAATAATACGAGTTATCCGTTTAACAAACTGTCGGCTTTGTTCTCTAAACTGTTACTAGGTCGAAGAATGTTTGTAGTCTGATGCAATTGACACTATCGGGGGGTTTAGGGGAGGTTAAAAATTTTGGAAGTGAGAACTCTTCTAGTAGAGACAATTTTTTTCAAGATGGCGGTCTAATTACTGACGATGGATCTGTGTATATTCTGATTTTTCTGTAAAACTGTTGATCATAGGCTTGAATTTTTCAGTAAAACTGTCGATCCTGGGCTCGAGTTTTTCAATAAAACTGTCGATCCTAGACTGTTCAATTACAGGAGTTTCTGTTCGATTGATTATAAGCTTTCATTCGAATATGAAGGGACTTCGATTTGAATAGATGAAATTTTAATATTTAAAGTCATCTTTCGCAGAGTGGCTGTCGCTTAGGTCTTTTCACTCTTGTATCGACCTGAAATGAGCTTGAAATGATTTAGTCGTCAGTGAACATCGTGTTTAGTCAAGGTTCAAGTGACCCTGGGTGACCAACAGCTTCTGGCCCAACAATAGTGTTCATCAGGAGTGAAAAAAAAAACGTAGAACTAGACCTCATCGTCAGTCAAAGTTCAACATTGTTGACGTAGGATTTAGAGATGAGCAAACGACTAGATAATCGTTGACGTAGGGCTAGATTCATCATCAGTAATAATATACAGTGATACGTAATTCAATGTCATCAGAAGTCGAAGTTCAAAGAAGTCGATACAGAAAGAATACGATATGCTTACTGCCGTCAGCTTTTATTGAATTGTTAACTTTCGTAAAGTGTTTTAACATTCGTAGTAAAGTATTAGTTGATTCTTACTTAGAAGCAGATTTATTATACTTGAATAGTTTTTGGTGTTTTCTACCAAAATACCAAAATGGATGCCAAGATGGTCGACCACGGTTTACCTAAATTCGCATCAGAAGAATGATAAATTCGTCGATTCGTCGGCGTTTAACATCACAAAGGACAGTGAATTGGATCGATTGATCCGCGCTCCTTGAATGTTTATTTATAGTAATTCGTATATACATCGGCCACTCGAGCCTTTCGAGTGCCGAAAACGAAATCTAAAAGAAGCGCCGGATCGTTCGTTTATTGTACTCAACAATTCAATTGCTTGATTAATCTGACTCAATGAAAGCCTCTTGAACTCTTCGATTACATCTCAAATTCCTTCATCACAAAAAAAAAGAAATAAAAAGCCCAAAGAAGTATCTGCCAATGGAAACATTAAATATCTAAAGAACCGTGTTACCGCCATCTTAGATTAAATTAACATCGTATCAAATTCAATCTCGTCTAACCAAATAATTTAACCAGTCTCTCTAACAGTTTTAAAACACATTTCAAGCTTCTAGATTATTTATATTCGTAACAAAACCAACGAATTGCCTGTCAGAAAGCGAAAGAAAAATAGAGATCCTATGAGAACCGATTGATTTCTCAAGAAATCATGAACTTGTAATGCACCACGGCAATCGAAGCTTTTCCGGTGCGCACTTGCAGTGCTGTTGGTCAAGGTTGATGAGATATCGGGAAAGAATTTCGATTTTTGTTCGACAGGAAGGCCGGCTAATCGATTCTAAGCAGTCTTTAGTTGCGCAACAGCCGTTCGCACGGATAGGCCCCATCATCTGCTCTGTTTCTCCGTCGTCTTATCGCCTTCTTCTCCGGCGAGGGAAGAAAGAAAAAAAAAAGGAGAATCTATACGACGATTAATTGAGTTCCACGCCAGAAGTGCAGGGTTATCGCGCGAAATTTCCGTTTAAATTTGTACTGTAGCATTTTAGTGTCGGATCCGCCGGCCCGATAAGACAACGGGCGTAGTTATCGCCCATGGAGCACAGAACCGTCGATACATCAGCTTATCTCGAACGGGACGAGCACTGTATCGGAATTAATGCCGTGATAGTCCTTCTGTAAACAGCCGTAGTGGGAGCATTTTAAACCTGCGGTGCCACGTGATGCTCGAATTTCCATCTTAACCTTAACCTTGACCCTGAGTAGAGAATGTCGGTCGTTAACGATCGCAAGCGAATTCCCATTTTTTACTAAAGGAAGTTTTAAACGTTTGAAGTAGAGGAATGATTGTGTAATGTAATAGAAACTTTGGTAACTATTCTGGGATTTTTTTTTAGATTTTTTGTAAGCTTACAACAGTAAAAAAAATAGGTTTAGGCATGAATGACACGATTTGCCTATAGAGGGTTAAAAAGGAACCTGCAGGAAGAAGAAATAAAATTGCTGTAAAATCTTGCCTCTTTTGTTATAACATTTACAGATTATGTGGTTCGTTGAACTAATAACTTTTGTCTTTTTGTTACAGTGATTCCGAAATCGGAGACAATTTCGAGGAAGCAGGATAAGCCGGATTTGGAGTACATTAAGTTGAGGAAGATCAACGGGAATCAGTATGAGGATACGTGTAAGTTGATGTTTTGATTGATAGATTTTATCGACGGCTGCTTTCTTCGGCAGGTGCTCGTGTTAAATGCCACGACGTTTTAGGGATTGTCTTTCTTCGTTATATTAAATGAAGAATTAATCGATAATAGTAGTGGCTTAACCTCCTGGCTTCTAGATTATCTCCAGTTTTATCGAATATTAAATTGTATTTAGACTGCAGATTTTATACATTAACCCTAAAATATGAATGTTCAAAAAACCATAGGATAAAAATTTTCATGACTATTAGTATGCACTTTAGTTTACCTTGGACCTAAAAGAACCTCTAAGAAAAAAAACAAATCTTTGACATAACTTCAGTTCCCTAAATTGATTTAAATATATAAATCTGAATTTGCATAAAGATCCACAGTCGACTTGTATTCCAATAGTTGAATTTCCGACTTAATTGTTTCCAGCAAGAATTTATAAAAAATGAATATAGTATCTATTGGAAGAAGTAGTGTCGATCAGTACATAATTCTTCAGAGAATAGATTATTCGAATTACTGTTCAATTAATAATTAATTCAATAGTAACAAATTGATTCACTGAAGAAATATGTATGTCCACATTCTGTAGAGACCTAAATCTCGTTCCCATAGGGACGGTTTTATATTTCTTAGCGCTACAGTGAAATGGCACAGGGGTAGACGTTAGAATGACATTTACGCGAGATTTCGACAAATCGCTCGATCCGCTGGCTCCCTCAGGATCGTTCCATTCACCGGCGTTGAAAATTACACGCGAGTCTGTTGCCGAAGAATGCGAACGACAGGAAGAAAGACGAAAACGAGAAACGAATATCAAGTTCGTGGATCGTGTTACGCTTTTCGCAGCCGTGTTAAACGCTTACGCGCGGATCGCGAGCTAGCGATGGGAGTAACTCGATGTACTCGTATGTACCCTCGCGAGCAAACTCGGAAGAGTCTAAGAAAAATCTCCTACCACTTGGTAAATTTATTCCAGATACTGAAATTAATGTTAAATCGAATGTTAATTTGGCATAAATTTCAGTAATTCAAATACTAAGAAGTAGGAGCATAGTAGGAGGCTCTTCACCTACGTCACTTTTTCCCCTAGTAAAAGCCGAGTTTGCACGTCCGGGAATTATTGAAATTCATGCCAAATTAACATTCGATTTAGTATTTATATCAGTAGTTGAAATAAATTTATCAAGTGGCGGGAGGCCCTTCCACTAGTGGAAAAAGCAGTGTAGGAGAAGCGCCTTCTATCACTTGGTCCTGAGAATTATTAAAATTTATGTCAAATTAAAATTCAATTTAACATATATTTCGGTACTTGAAATAAATTTACAAAGTGGTAGAAGGCCTTTCTCTTACGCCACTTTTTGCCCTACCAGAAGCTGAGTTTGCTTGTGGGTGTACACTTGAAGTTTATAAATTTAAGAATACGAAATTATTTCAATATTTTCCGTTTCGTTCACACTAAAAGAAAATATATATCAACGGATAATATACAACTCATTGATTTTGCTCCCAATAAGAGGGACAAAAACGTTGATCACGCGGTACTGCGGGAGTTCAGCTGGCAAACTCGCGTTCTGATGTCTTCGCTAAGAAAAAGTTGTTTCAAATCACCCCTTTCAAGAACTTATAACTATTTTGGGATACCCTGTATATTTTATAATATTATAATAGGGTGAACGTAAATATAAATGAGTTCTAAACTACTAATAGTATTCAACAAGGAAGTCTTATCATTTTCCAGCGCATAGTGATTTACGCGTAACGATGTATCGTCGTTGGCATTTTTCGCAACTGTAGCTAACGACGATATATCGTTGTTCAGAACTAAAACGGTTAAACTATTAAAAAAACTCTATTTATTAAACGAAATGTCCGCAATCTATTTAGTCATTTGTATTGTCGACAAGGTCGTTCCCATCGCTAGCAGAAGCGCGGGAAAAAGAACGAAATGCCGGCCGATTCAAATTAGCGCAATTAGACCGCCGATGCATTTCGATGATGGAACGCGCACGTGTGATCTTCGAAGCGTATACCGGCGTACAAACGCGAGCGCACCACCTTTATCAGGATCACGTTCGCCTCGTTAAGCTCTCGATTGTGCGAGACGAGGCGGGCCCGCGTTGCATGCACGGTCTACGAACGAGAATCTCGGCCGCAGATAAAACGCAGACGACGCGAGCGGAACCAGATATTTATAAAGGACGCGCGATCGATCTGCGATCACGGGAGTTCTCGGAACCGTAAATCGCCGACCCGGTGTACACACAAGGTGTGTGCTTGGATTGCAAAATCACGTTCCAGTCCTCTGCCTCCTATTGATCCAACTTTTCGATTCTTCCGTAACGAATTACGGGCTAATCCTGATTTAACAGCGAAACGTATCGATGATGGTAGGGGATCGTGAATATAAATCGGTCGATGCATATGAAATCTCTTGCTTCCTAGAAGTGAAACGTTTTTTATGTTCGTATTTTTTTTCGCAATGTATTACAGAGAGAGATTAAGAAAAGATAGGATATACTAACAAGGGAAGGCACGGAAGTGCCCCCCTTCGATTTTGATAAAACTTCGTATGTCTGTTAAACAGTCAAAAATAAGGGATACGTATTTTTTTTTATTGGCTGAGACGCGACTTTAAGGGGTGAAACCCCTCCTCGAAGTTTCGATCCGAAATTTTTTTGTTACAAACAAATTATATTTTCGACAATTTGTTAGCACCATGTTAATCTATATAAAAAATCGCAATCCTCGTCCATTAGAAGTTTTCATCTATCTCCTCAGGTTTTCGAGATAGTATTTTCGGGTGGAAACTTCGAGGGGTGGTTTCGCCCCTTAACGTCGCGTCTCAGCCGTTAAAAAAAAATACGTATCTCTTATTTTTGACTGCTTAACAGGCACACGAAGTTTTATGCCTTCTCTTGTAAGATAAGACCCAGAAAATGTTGATTATAGTACATACGATTTCCATACGTCAGAGAAAAAATAATGGACAATATTAAATGGTTATGTAAATGGACGAACAGTTAACGAAACCAGTGGTCGCTGTGAAACACGTTTGCGCCCAGCCGTGAAACTAGATGCTCGATCATTGGTCGAAGAAAAAAGGATTGGCCGGAACGGTAAACGCCGTCGCGAAAACGTCGACGCGTTTTAACGATCGCGGCACGCGCATTTTGTCACGCATCGGTCCGCCTTGTTGCCTGCCAACTTCACACGGGTGTCGCGCGGATTACTGGCAACAAATGAACCACTTACTAACGAGCACGAACCTCTTACGGAGAACGAGCGTGCTAAGAACGGCTGGCGTACACACAAGTTTGTTCAGACCTCGCGGTCGCAAACTGAAGCGATTGAATCTTGGGGGAACGGAGTAAATTATAGTCTGAGCTAAACTGGTTACCGTCACGAAGCTACTTCCAGCATTGTGATGGTCGTTTGGAAATTCGATTTAGACTTGGAAAATTGTTGGTATTAGGTATGCTAATAAGTAGTCCATGATTTTCTTTGAAACTCTGTATGGTTTTAAAATGAATTCAAGTACCTAGCCCGATTGAAGAATATTCGCTATTTGTTTCTTCTGAAATTTTAACTGAATAGATGATTGAGAAGATACAATTTGGAATCTGAAAGTTACTGCCGACATATTGGAACTATGGTGAACTTATTGGTATATAAGATAATCAAAAAACTGTCAATTGATTTAGATGGGTAACTAAGTGGAACTGTTTTTTACTTGAGTAATCGAGAGATACTAAAATGGCGGAGCACTTTCTGAGGAATCTTGAGTAATCGGATTAATTTTTCGAGCTACATATGTGGCTTACAATAGTTGGATAGGTAGTTAATGTTTAATATGTTATTGTTAATTTTTCACAGCTGAAAGAGTTTCGACATCCCAGAACCAGCATAGTGGTCACTTCCGGCATGCCACAGCGGAAGTCTGGGACACTTATCCTCAGTACGAATTCACTGCCTTCGGGAGACAATTTCGCTTACGTTTGGCGCATGACACCAGTTTCGTCTCGCCAAATATTAAAGTAAGTAATAAGTTCATTCTGAAAACTCATCACCAACCTATATTATTATTCATTTCTCCGATTCGAAAGATACATACAAACAGATAGGCCAAATATAATTTGGTCTTTTTTACCTTTAACTAAAGTATTGTTCTTGAAATCGAACCCCATAGTAGATGAAAAAATAGAATTGGTCTGAATAAATATTAATGTGTAATAGGATAACAATAAAACACCTGGTGTTATAAAAGGTTACAGAAAAAAAAAATATTATTGCCCATGGTTTTAATATTTATTTAGAATTTTACATTTTAATACAGTGTCCATCAGTTAAACAGATTCATAAAATTCCCTGAGCCAATTTGTTTCGAGCTTCCATTCCAGAGGCGATAATTTAATCTACCCAGATACCGTTTCATCGATGTTAATCCCATTACCTTGTACGACGCTAGAGCGCGTTATTACTATGCTAATACACGAGACATCATCTTTGATGGTTGCGCCGGGTGCACTTGCCGTTGATACTTGCATAATGTTGCATCCCGTGTGCATCGATGCTCTTAATAGCCGAGGTGTGAAAAGCGGCTCTTTCCGTGTAACTTTATGACTTTTTAAATTGTTTCAAATGCTGCACCATGGAATTTTTTCGAAAATATTAAGTTTACTTAGTAGAAACTGTGCAGTTTCGAAGATATCCGTCCGTAATTCCTTCATCACGCGTTTTCTGTTTAGAAAAAAATACTGAACGTTAAAATTCAACCTTGCACGAGTTATTTACGCTCGAACGTTTATCACGCGGATAATTCGTTTGAATTTATTTGAATGTTTTCGAAAGGTCTGCGAAAGACTTCACGAATAAAGAGTAATTATTCCAAAGTATTAAAATAAACAATGGAAGCTGGAATGACGTGATGTTTTTAAACGTAATTGTGCCGTTTAAACCTCAAGTGTGACGTCATCCATTCGGTAAACAATTCGAGCACACCGATTCCTTGAATGATTGTTCCATTGGAAATAGACGTTTCGTCTTGGACCGTATTTTCGGACCGATTACATGGCCAATTGTTTCTGATTGTTTGCGTAGATTACTCACATGAGCACGAATTCATCCAGAAGGGAACATCCGGGCAATGAACTTGGATGCTTTTACAGCGGCACCGTGGACGACGATCCTTATTCCGTTGTCACTGTCAGCCTCTGCCACGGAATGGTAAGTCGAACCTTCGTTTCTTTTAATCGTAACCCGTGAAACACTGAATCGTTCATAATTACATACTTAAACAGAAGTAACATTGTATTAGGTGTACAAATTAATTCCTGACCTTCACAATTAATTATTGACACAAAATCGCCATCATTTTTTCGAGAGAGGATTCGCTAATTGCCCTAGAAATTGCGTAAATATGTAGAAAGTGGTGGAGAATATTTTTAAGACTAGATTGTATTTCGGTTTTGTGTAAATAAACAACAAATCTATGAAAAGAAGGCCACGAATTAATGTGTATACCTAATAGATTTGTAATTTGAATGCACGAATTGAGAGATTCGTAACTGTGAGTCAATTATAACGACATACATTTATTTTAATAATTGAAGCCACAGAAAAGTTGAATCAAAATCATTTTATTTTATCATCAGACTTGAAAATATACGGCATGAGAGTCGATACCATCGTCCAGATGGACATTACGCAATCAAAAAGTGAATCTTCTTAATTTCTGTTTGTTAAAAATGAGAAAATTTAATTCCGGAAGAATTGAACGTATAAAATGAAAGCAGTCGAAAAAATATGTTCAACAACTGTATCTTATTAAAATCGCTCGTCTTTGCAATTTACAGTATTGTTTTCCACCGTACCAAAGGAAGCCTAAAAATAGTGTCTTCCGAAAGTTTCACGGAACTTCTTCCCTGAAAAACGAAAAAAACAGAAATTCATTTCTGTATCATACTTTGTCAGAATTCTTGAAAATGCCGGGTGCCAGCCGAAATAAGAACAGCGAGCATGAAAGTATTAGCGGTCGGTTGTCGCGTCTAAAAATACGTTTTCATGCACGGGGCGCATCCTCCTTAGAAGTCATCGTCCAAGTAACCTCGCCTAGGGACGACTCTGGTCTCCGCGGGAATTCCTTTTCGAACTCGTGGTTACCAGAACGGACACAGAGTTGCGAAAATGCCACGCGCGTTTCACCCCGTCAAGTGTGCGCACAAAGACGTGTTTAAAGTTCTCTGCATAAACAGGCATTTTTGCGAGCCGTCTCTGGTTGCACTTCTCTAGTCCGGCCGATACGGTCGACGGTTCGCGCACGTTCGAACCGATTGTGTTACGAAATCCTTAAAGGTGGAATTCTTCCTCTGAAAACTGTAGAACGTTGCTCGTTCAATGGATGAAATGCAATCCATGGGGGATTATTGGCCCATACAAGGAAGACTTGGTCTCTTTTTATTAGCCAAGAAATGTATTCACAATCCTCATTTTTCATTTGTTAAAAGAGTCTAGTAAATCAGGAATATCTAGTTTCTAACTTCTGTGTAATTAGCTTTGACAGTTCTAAACGCTACATCAGAGTTGGATCTTATTAATGGAGTCTCTAGAGTATAATCATTTGCTCGAGTTAGACCTACGAAGTTAGAAAAACGCCTGGTTCGCATTAACTTGTGCCTAGAACCTACATCAATGTAAGTTTCTATTAATCAAGTCTCCATGTTCTGAACATTTGACAGCGGTAAACGTAGACATCGGAAACAGTCTTTGGTTTCTGTGCCATCGACATCAACATTCCTGAAACCAGCCTAGGCGTTTAGTGACTATCCCAGTGACTAACATTTCGCGAAGTTAGTCTCGGGGACATAGAAGAACCAGGTTAGTTTCTACGTCATTAATTAGAGAGGTAAACTGAAAGCAGGATTCTCTTAGTCGACTCCCGAAGGTTCCTACATTTCAATTCCAGTTCTGACATTCATTTTGTAGTGTATGTAGGCCTAGCAGGTCAAAATTACCCGCTTTATGGTTTCCATGTCGCCAGAGCTTCAACATCCTGCTAACCAACCAAAGAGTCCAGAATCTATTGCTCGTATTCTCCAAGTTCTTAATACAGATCCGTCAAACACCGATCATTTGGAAGTGCTTTAACCTACTTGCACAGACATATTCGGTCCTCTGTCATCAGGATCGACAGTTCCAAAATTAAACTTGACGTTTGGAGCGGAAGCTATGACGATCCTCGGTTTATCTATGGAATTAACGATTTCTTTCGCGAAACCTCGGGCTTGAAGTCCGACGGAATAATTTCGCGGAGAGGCTGGGGGGGGGGGGGGGGGGGGGACGCGTTAGTAGGTGGTACGTACACGGTCCAGATTGGACATTTGCCATGGTAACGCTAGAACGAGTTTCCGGATTATCTTGGCAAACGTGTCGCCAAGTGGCGCCCGGGCACCCCGACCGAGTTCGGCTGGGAATCCTCGTTGATTTTCCCGCTGATCGATCTCTTTCGTCGGATCAGATTGTCTTGCTGCTAAAAATACGAATTTTTTCGTCCTCGAGATATCGTGAGAAACTTTTTAATTAATTGTTCTTTAACATCTGGGGTAAAGACACGCCATTTAGTACTCCACGGTCGTGCCAAAATTGCGGTCCTATAGATTGAAGTGCTGTAACGTGAGACAGTCAGTTTGCCGTTCATCATGCAACATTAATTTAAAGAGGTGATAATTTGATTGTTTGTATTGGATTTGAATTTAACCCTTGGAATAAACCTATAGGTGGGATTTAAGGTCGTACTTGGTATAGTGCTTTTTTGCTCTTTTTGGAGAAGTTATTATCGTGCACTTGTATTTTTGTTTGTTTATATCATAAGGAATAATGGTTGAGTTATCTATATATAAAAGAAATCCTGACAGACTGACGTATCAATGCCCAGATCTTATTATTTAATCTAGCAACGTGAAATTTGGAAGGTACAATTGTTTTTATGACCATCCACTAGGAAAGGATTTTTCGAAAATCAACCCCTAAAGGGATGAAAATGTGTAAAATGTATTTTCTGGGAATCTTCACTATCCCTTAATCTCGATGAAATATCCTACTGATTTTACTTTAAATTGCTACTTATTCAAATACCTGGAAAATAATTTCAGAATTTTCTGCAATCCCATCTCCAAGGGGCGAAAAGACCTCCGAATAAATGGAGATAAATATAATATACATCTACTTTTTCTTTTGGAATTCAGTGTAAAAATTTTGTTTAAACAACAATTTTGCCAAACCCTAAACCCAGCATAACATACAACAATATAAGAAGTTTATTAAATAATAAAAAATTGTTTAAAACCAGAATGGTAAAAAAATAATAAAAAATCGAGTGGGGATAGCACAAGGAGAACTATAACTTGGGTCGGATTTGACCTTACCATTAGAGGGTTAATACAGTGCCTGGATGTAGGTGTAATATTAATATTGATTCCAACGTTGCTTCAGGAAAGCTTCCAGGATCCTGGAGGTGAATTATCCCCTGGCTTATCGCGCGGGCAATTGATAGTGTTATTTAAACGTTTGAACGAGCCACTCTGTATTTCCGTCGCCAACAGGGATGCCGCGAGTTATCCAGCCTGTTTGTGAATCGATCTACCGAAGACGCGTACGATTAAACGAGCCGACGAAGCCGCGGCTCGGTGGATTTGCCTTCATAACTTACGAGCAGAAGTCCGTCGGTGGTGTTTACGCGGGTACGAGACGTATTCTCTGTCGGTTCCGCGAATCCCTCACGTAGATAAAGAAGTAATTAATTAAAGACGCTTTAAGGAGACACGACGTGTGGAATCTAACGTCTAAATGGAAGGATCTTATTGATTCGCTGCTACTTTCGCCATTTACTTTGTCGTTTCGTAAGTAAATACGCCGTGGAAATCGCCATTTTAAGTTTTACAGATTGGAAATTTTCAGTATTACAGATTGGAAATTTGGAATATAACAGATCAGAAATTTTGAATATTACAGAATAGAAATTTGAATGTATTTATAATTTTTAATTTTAATATTTGCATACGATGTTTTAATGTTTCGTACACCCAACATACGCTATTGGGGAACTGTGAAACTATTAAAAGGCTTCCTTAACTATCCAAATCAGCAGTCAAAGGGTTGAGCAAAAAAAAATCATTTCAATTAGAAATGAATAAAGTAAAAGATTTGTGGACTTGTGTCAATTCATTTTAGATATTTAGTCAGTATATTTTTCGAAGATAGACGATTTTTTACGATATAACGAGCGTCTGTGACGAGGCACGTCACGATGTCTCGTTTCACGAAATCCGTATTGCTCGTGTAGTCTGCAACTCTCGCAGATGCAATTCCTCGAATCGAACGTGTAACAGCGATGGTTTATTGCCGTGTGTGCCTGCGAATTTCTGCGGAAGGAAAATAATAATCGAAGGTCGCCTTTACTTCGCGTGTTATTCGAGACGGTATTTCTACGATTCGAGATTTACGGGTTCTTTTAAACTTGTTTCTTTTGCTATGTCAAATTTTCTGAGGAAAAAAAGAACATCTACTCGATCGAATTTCCATACTTTATCCCTTTATCCGCGACTCATCCCTCGAATGCTGAAGACTGACGCTGCAACTTGATAATTTTTGCAATTCATATTATATTATTTATATCGATCTAGCGACATAATAAATCGTCGTTGTAGTTCTTAATTCTTCTGTCTCCACTAATTTCTAAACTGAGAAAACAGTGTTTAAAGTTCAGGAAGTTTAATTTTATTTTAATATAATCCATCGAAGCAGGAAAGTAGTGAATTAATCAAACACACAACAATTTTATTATCAACATAAATTTTGAATTGTTACTCGAGATACAACCATTAAAAAAAAACTCTCAAAGTTTCGAAGTTATTATGATGAATTTGTATTCTTTGAATCAATGAGAAATAGATTGGATGAACTAAATATTTTTGAAAAATGGAGTTGGAACAGTTAAGAACTCAGACGACGAAATGTCTATCGAATGAAATTTATTATCTGCATGTATATAATCTTATTAATTTTCTGGGGGGGGGGGGTGAGTATTTACATCTTTAGCACGAAAGGGTTAATAATTCTATAATACCGTTCGAATTTACCATTTACTGTGTTCTCGTATCGGTCCGTTTTACTTAACAGAGAGTCCACGAGACTGTTAAGCTCCGTAACAGATCCCTTATCCGCGGTTA